ACCACCAGGGAGGGCCCTCCCACTATCTGGTTTTAAGAGGAAGAAACGCCTAGCAGTTCCTTCTCTCATGCAGTCTGGCCCATCAGGACATTGATAAGCCCCCCTGCACCCCACCAACAGCATCTCTTCTCAGCCGCATTGACTACATGCTACAACCACAGGTGTCACCCATTTAGTCAGCCTTGTAACCCTGGAGGTGAGTAGGACATCAGATTTGCAATGAGAAATCTGCAGCATCCAGGTGTAGCCCAAGTCCTGCTACCGCACAGCAAGCCAGGGCTTGAGCGCTGCTCCGTGGCCCTCAGAGCGCCACATTCAGGATGGGCCGTCAGCCTCACTCACTGGCCAGGACCAAGGGGACCTCAGAGGGCGCATGGGCTGCGCTGGTGAGAGGGGTGAGCGGAGGTGGGACAGGAGGACTCACTTTGCAGTATTTGGGAGAATTAAAGTTAGAAGATTTGAAGTGGGTGAGTGTAACCTCAGAGACAAGCAAACCCAAACACCAAGTGATTCATGAAATGAGATCAAAACATGTTTGCAACCTGCTCTGAGTCACCCCAAAGCCAGCACGGGCCCTTGGAGGGGGCTGGAGCTTCTGATCTCTGCATGTTCCTCACTAGCAGGTTGCCCTTCAGGAAGGACTAAGCAATTCCTCCATAACACCACCAAGAGAGTGTCCACCCGAGGAATAGCCCCAGGAGACCTTCATTCCACCGGAGGCTCAATGTCATATACTGTAATACTGGAAAAGAAAAACCACAGACGTGTTGTAGGCCCATAAGAATGACTATTTTACTTTTCACTATATTCCAGAATAAGTTCTAGTGCTTTGTACCAGAAGAAATGACAGAAATACTGAACCTTGCCAGATTAGTGGACACAGTCTGAAATAAAGATGCTAAGCAATAGGTCGTAAGTGGAATTAAAACAAATACCCCAAAATACAAGTCACCCCTTGCTTCGAAGATTATAGGGCTATTCACATGCATAGATCAGTCCTGAGGGCAGGAGGATGAGACTTATCTCTGTTTTGTAAGTATAGAGCTGAGGCTTCCGTGGTCCACAATCTATGCCAGGACTCACCCCTTGTGTTCCAAGGCCTGTGTCACAGTCAAGTTCATAGCCAATCCAAGGGCCTTCTTGCCATGTAAGAGAAGAGCAAGCACCAAATCACAGACCATATGGGCTTCAAAATGGCCAAATCGGCTTATCAAGGTGACTGGTCTGAAGGAATCAAGCACAAAGCTGGTTTTCACAAGTTGGATTTGAAAAGTGCGTGTTGGCATGTGGTGATGCGGAAAAGAGCGAGTGTGTTTGGGAACAGTGACAGGCCCTGTGCGAGAAAGGTGGTGCCTGGAGATGGTAGAGAGGCCTCAAGGTACCCTGCGTGCAGGTTGTCCCACAGGAGGCCCGTCCTGCTCATGGCCACAGCTCCGTGTGGGCACCAGGCTCCAGAGCCTTCTTGTGGAGTAGTCAGGCTGCAGCCTGAGCTGGCAGACTGACCGCGGCTTCCTTCCCTCAGATGTCAGGCAGTGACTGCCGGGTCCAGCTGTTGGTCCTGTGCTCACCCACTCACGGTTTTCTTAATCTTTTCCCGACAACCGGTTTTTCCTCCTATAGGGCAGACTTGGGTCTTTCTCACCATTCCCACAAAATGGAAAGCTTTTATTTCTAATAATCTTAAAAAACAAAATTTGCCTTCCCTCTACTCTCTTTATCCTCTACACACACACATGCACGCACACCCGTTGCAGAATCACCTTCCTTAAGTCCTCTGACCAGAGAGTATTTAAGTGGGAGCAGGGTGTGATCCAGCTATGTGCTGCCCTGTGGTGAGGAAGTGTGTGGCCCCACGTGATTTTGATCCTGAGAAGTTCAGAGATGAGGAACTGCTTCCCTCAACCATCTCCCAGAAGCTTCATTTATAGTTTCAAAAAAATAATGCAATGAAAGCAAAGTGAAAAGGAAACAGAGCACTTTTCTTTACACGATAAAAAGAAAGTAGGGGGAAAGAAAAGAGAAAAAAAACTTTCATTTATATCCCTACTTGCACTAAGCTGGCCTTGGCCCACCCTCCCATGGGAGCCAGGTATGATGTTTTGTTGTTGTTTGTCTTTGGGAAAAGATACGTGAGAGAAGAAGAGATAGCAAGACCCTGCGGCATCAAACCCTTTCCCCAAATTACCAAGAAAGTGAAATTTCCTCTGGGGCCAGGAACAGGGCCCAGGGCGGACACACAGCCACCTTATCTGGGGCTCACCAGATCTTAGAATCGGGACAAACCTGTTCTGATCTGTCCCCTGTAGGGACAGAAGAGCCCACAGTGTTCCAGCTGTCAGTGAAATCTGGATTGGTTAAAAAGCGCTCGGCATCTCCCCCGACAGCTCCCTGGAGGTCGGCTCTGTCCCAGATGGCCCTCCGCTCCTGGCCGGGGCTGCGTCACTCCAGGCTCAGTCTGGGTATCAGCCACCACAGTGCCCTCCTTCTCTCTGTTTCCGCGGCAGGACGGTAAGCGTCTCGCATGGGCTCCTCGCCTCCTGCCACAGTTCTCACGTAGATGTGGGTTTCTTCTGCTCTCATCATATTCTCATGTGGGGGGGAACTGCCAGGATTCTTGAGAAAACAAACATATTTTTACAAAATACAGGAAACGCTTCTGCTTTGGACCAAGTTAGAATAATAGCAAGCAGATATATCCTCCCACCCCAAACAACCAAACGTCAAACAACACATTCGAAACAACGGTTTTTAAGACAGTGGACATCAGGTAGGGAAGGACACAGAGAACAAATGTGGAGTGACCTGCAGTTGCCTTGAACCTACAATAGGGAGGGCTTTCGGGTCACTCAACGTGCTTTTGTTTAATGTTAGCCTAGTCTCTCTTAAAAAACTCTTAGTTTCTATTAGTGCCTTAATATGTAAAGTAAGTTTCTGTAGGCTACATAAAATTGGATCTTGCTTTACTATCCAGTCTGAATACCCCTTTAAACGGGTGTGTGAGACCATTTATATTTAATGTGAGGGTTGATTTTATTGGGTTTAAATCTACCATCTTGCTATTTCTTTTCTATTTGTTCATTGTTATATTTTAAATCTTTTTCTGTTTCTTCTGTATAGATTTTAGAAGTACCTTATTAAACTCCATGAAAAAAAAAAGTCTTGGGATTTAAATTGGAATTACATTACCATGCGGATCAATTTAATTATGTGACAACTTTATGCTATTGAGTCTCGCTATGCAGTGCTGTGGTATATATCTTCCATTATTTAGGCTTATTGAATATCTTTTACTTCAGTGTGATTATTGTCCATAAAGTGATTACATGTTTTTGTTAGAGTTATCCTTTAGGATATATATATATATATATATATATATATATATATATATATATATATATATATTTTAAACAGGGTATATAAGTTTCTACATTGTTAAGTTTCTCGAAACAACAACAAAAATCACATACGCTTTTACTACCACTACAAAACAGTAGTTTAAAAAGTTACTTCTTCTAGTAGCTTGCTATTAATTTTTAGAAAGGCAAAATTACTTTTGTATCCAGTAAATTTGTATAACTCTCTTAATCATTTAATAATTCATGTGAAGGGAATCTGACTTTCCTTTTTCGATGAGCAATCATATCATCTGCAGATAAGGAAGGTTTTATTTCTTATTTTACAGTTTTCTGCATTCTACTTCTTTGTTTTCAGCTTGACTGAGACAAAGCTGACAACACTGCAAGATATTTGAATTGCACAGTGTGATGTTTGATTCCCCCTCCCCAAGCTATGTGTTAATTTCTACTTCTTTTCTCTTAACCTACTACCAACTAAAATACAATATTGAATAGAAGTGGCGATGGTGGTCATCCTTATTTTGTTTCTGATCCTCAAGAGAATTTGTTAACATTTTACCCTTAGGTATGATGTTTGCTTTAATTTTTTTTTTAAGATTTATTTATTTGTGCATACAGAACTGGGGTACAGGCCAGAGGCTCAGGGGCGGCGAGAGGCTTCACCAGAGACAGAGTGGGGAGCAGAACAGGCAGATCGACGAAGTACACTGCTGAGGGGAGCAGCGGGCGGGCCAGGAGAGGTCTGCCACACCATGTGGTCACCTCCGGGGCAGGCGGGAATCGAACTCATGCGGAAGCGGCTTTAGATTCTCAGTGCTGTGCTTTAACCTGCTGCGCCACCAGGGAGGGCCCTGCTTTAATTTTTTAAAAAAAGATTTTCTTTGACATCAAGGAAGTTTCTATTCCATTTTTAGTTTGCCAAGAGTTCACATCACAAATGGGATTAATTTTTTTTCTTTTCTGCTACTGTGATAGTCAAATGATTTTCTTTATTCAGTGAAATAAATAATATCATATTGCTTTTCTAATAGTAAATAAACTTTGAATTCCTGTTCAGCCAATACAAATATAGAGTTCTTTCTGCTTGAGCTTCACTTGGCCCCAGCTTCCAAATGTGCTCACCTGTACTTTCTGTACAGGAAAGGTTCTAAAACGTTGAACCTGTTTATTATGTGAATGATGTATAAGAGTTCTTACCTCAGTTGCCTTGGGATTATCATAGATTTCCGAAATTTCACATGGCCTCTCACTTTCCTAAGCAGGTAACAAAATAAAGAAAGAAAAGAAGAAGAAATGAAGGGCCACAGCAGCTGCTCACAATCATACTTAAAGTCAGAGTTTTTTTTTTTTTTTTTAAACCTGGGTGCACATTCAAATCACAGAGAACAAACCTAAAAATACTGATTTAATTGGTTTTGCAGGTGTTGATGTAGTTTCCAAAGTGACTGAAGGTTGAAAAACTAGTGCTTAAACAATACCACTGAAAATCACTTGAATATCTCTAACTTATAGCTTTCCCACACAATTTTATAGCCATAGTCTCAGTTCATCTCTGCAGTGGGGATAGGTGTTATGATCTGTCTTTGGGGGCTGAACTAATCAAGGCACAGAAAATGTTAAGTATCTTGTCCAGGATCATATAAGTGATAAAGTGACAGAGCAGGACTAGACCCAGGATTTCAGTCTCCCTGAGAGAGATCACCAGTGTGAGGACAGTCAAGAATATTCATGAGTGGAGGGTGGAAGCATTGCCCAGAGTTCATGCAACACCCTGTATTTGACCTAGGTGGTCTTTGATTTCTGAACATGGTCTCCAAAGCAACCTGCCATTTGGAAGGGATGGGGTTGGTAGAGGCTGTTGTGGCCAAGGTATGTTCAGATTTTGGAAAAGGGCAAAGAAAAATAGGATACTTCTGGACATATCCCTGCCTGAGACTCCTTAGCACCTGTCTGCCTACTATTTCCTCAAGATGGCCTCCACTGTGTCTTTGGGTAGCCTGTGACCTTTGGTTTGTCAGCTTTAGAGAAACAACCCACTGGGAACACACGTGTTTGCCATGGCAACAAGCGTCCCTCTAACCAACTGCCTTCCTTGTTGCCAAGAGACTTCGTCGCAGGACTGGAGGGCTGTGTGACTAACCAGCTCTGCCTGCAGCATAATGTCATGAGATAGAAAAGGGGCACAGGAATACCCACTATTGTGTCCTCAGAAAAACACATAATATCTACACCCTCACCCAGAGCCAGTTTACAAAACACAGATTCCTGCCCCAAACACCCAGGCCCAAAGAAGCTACTGGTCACCTCAGGGGTCTCTCTGCGGCTGCTCCTTTTCCGGTGAATCAGGGTCAGCACTAAAGTCAGCAGCAAGGCGGTGGCCAACAGGGATGGGATGCCTGCGGCCAGCCCGAGAGAGGGCCCGCAGTCCTGGCAGAGAGAGAAAAGCAGGGTCAGGTTCGCCAGGAGCAAAGGAAGGTCTCAATCAATTAAAATTAAGACAAGACCCTGATGAGCCCTAAATGTCCTAGTCAGCCTCAAAAGGGTAACGAGGGCTGTGGAAAATGCTTGTTGCATCGTGATGGCCCCTCATTTTCACAGGATTTAATTTCCATGAACTCAGCTGGAAATGGGGCATAATCAGGCAGAAACATGAGCAAAAGATAAGAAGAGGCCACTTCTAAGACCAAAAGTACAGATGTCTCATCAGCCTGGGCTGAGTAGAGCTAGAGTTAGAGCAATAAGATGTCACATTTGCCTGACACCGTGGCAAGAAGGAAAGGGGTTTTATGATATTTCACATCATTTTCAGATGAATTGTTAAAATTCATTCACTACTGAATATTCAAATTCCCACTTTGCTTTTATCTGAGTGGAAACAGCCACGTGTGCAGTGTCATAAAATTTTACATGTGTAGATTATCAAGAATATCAAGGAAAGTCCTTCAAACTTGACAAGGCTTTGTTACCTAGTTAATTGAGTATTTAACTAAGGATCCTCTGAACCAGCAGCGTGGCACGCCTAACATACACACAGAAATGCGTGGTGACATGTTACAGGTAGAACCCACCTGTGGAGCCCAGGTGAACACAGCCAGCCTCCTGGAAGCCCCTCAGCTCCCTTCCAGGTGTCCCAAGCCCCACACCTACCCGGGGGATGTCTCCTCTGTTTTCCCACAGCATCGGGACACACACAGACAGCACACGCACACTGTGGTCAACTCCAGCTGTGATTTTGCACAGTCTCCCTCACTTTGTGGCTGAGTTGGTCACAAGACCAGTAGCTGAGCCAGATTCTGTGCTTGGTGACGGTCCGCACGACGCTCATCTTCAAGATGAGTGCACAAGACAAGCAGAGTTCCGTCACCTCCACTCTACAAGTGACTGTTTCACTGCCGTTTCAGGGGTCTACTTACCGCTTCTGTCCCATCTGTTATAGCTGGGGAGGACGTCTGTGTGGAAAAGAACATCCATCTCAAGAAAAGAGAAGCTCTAGAATGCATTGTCACAGGGCTGTCTGTCACAGGTTGAACTACAGCTGCCAAGATTCCCTCCCTTGCTAAACTTTCTGTTAAAAATGTGCTTTGGTTGTTTCCCAGGTAAGAATAGGGATGAAATTGGGCTTCCAGGAGGGAAGACTCAATTCAGGGGAGTTCTTCGTCATTCACCCAGTGGATTTGCCATGACCTATTTTATTGATACAACTGAGAAAAGCCTTCTCCAGCCCCAGTTCCCACACACTTCCTGCACTCTTTGGGCCGACTTGTCCCTTTTCCAGAAAGGAAACAGACAGAAATGCTGGTGAAGGAAAGACTTTCGGGAATGGGGCAGGTGCTGGCGCGGTGACTAAGCATGCTCTGGATCGCTCCACCGTGAGCAAATATATCCCCTGAAACCTCTCCAGCATGGAGGGGCACTGGGTCTCACCTACTGGGTCTCAGCCATGGATGAAACATGTGTAACAAGAGTCTCACACGAATCAACACATCTTGAATCATCCCATCTCAGGAAGGTCAGTCCTGTGTTAGCCGCTCATGGTGTCAGCTACGCTTGGTGCCGGAATGTGAGTGAGGTTCTGGGTTCACACTGCCTGAGTGGGGTGTGGGGGGGATTTCTCCACACTCCCAAGCTAGAGGGCCTCGGTTCTTCATTTATCAAAGAGGGATATTAGTACCTACCTCTAGGGTTGTTATGAGGATCACATGAGCAGCAGAAGTATAAGCTTTTGTCATTCCTTTAAGCTTGGCAAGGCTTTGTTAGGTGTTTAATTGTGTATTTAATCCTCTTGTCAACTCAGTGAGCACAGTGAAGTCCCCGGGGCTCGGGCTTTGGACAATTATTGTCTCTATTTACAAAAAAATGAAATAGGTCTCAGAGAAGTTAAGGGTCTTATCTAAGATTCCACAGACCCATCGATCTCACCTGAACTCAGATGTTTGAATTCTAAGCCTACATCTCTTTCCCAGCCACCCATCAAGGCCCACAGAAGGGGAGCTCGATACTAGGCGTTGGCACTTGCTACTGAGATGGTTATACTTTCCCCTACATGCAGTCTCACCCTGCCTCCCCCTACATTATCGTAAAGCCACATTTGCCTAAAGAATTCTATTTTTTAGTGAGGCAGGAAGCATTAGACACCATTTGGGGGAGACATTGTGTCTTTAGATTACAGAAATTCACTTGGGCTGGCTTTAGCCAAAAAAAAAAAAAAAAGAATGGCATTAACGCTGAGGCAGGAAATAGGCTTTTCTCAGCACCAGAGCTAGGAATTGAGAACTTGGTAAGACCAAAAGCCACCCCTCTTGGGCTCTCCAAATCTGGGCAGTGTGGGGTTCGCCTGTTTTCATCTCTGCCCGCTTGCTTCTTTCTCTCTCTCACATGGTTTTCTCTGCTGTACCGGGTAGTGCTTGTGAAGTGCTTCTATGTGCCGGGTAGCCAAGCGCTTTTCCTGTATCAGCTCATTTATTCGTCACAACAGCCGAGGCGTGGGACTATAACGATCTCCGTTTTACAGAGAAGAAGCACCAGCGCGGAGAAGCCAAGTGACGTGTGCGAGGTCACGCTTGTGCGAGTGGCTTGGCCCCAGGGTGCCCAGGTTTGTGCGGCTGCCTCCCACGACAATATAGAGCACCCAGTACAGATTTTATACTGCAGTGAGGCCTGGCAGGGACCACATTGCACACGTGGCCTGTTTCCAACACCCTACAGAGAGGCTCGGAGGCCCCGGGTGCCCACCTCTCCCTCACACCCCGGTGCACTGTCTTCCCCCACGCAGAAGCTCCAAAAGGGGTGGCTTAGGCCTAACTGCCAGATCTGCTGACCAGCCAGTGGGCCCGGGGGTCCAGAGAGGTTGCCCAGGAGGTTGGATGTTAAGGGTTAAGCCAGACATTTCCAGGCAAATGGGCATGCTGGTTACTACACAGATTCAAAGGTAGGAGGGCAGGGCGCTCAGAGTATCGGGTCGTTAGCTTAGAAGGCCCTTCAGAGGGGATGGCTAGCGCATAGGGACCCTGTTAGCCCCCAGCCAGCAAGCCATGGCATCTTACTTCTCCAAGTTCCCTTGCTAGGGTGGACAGAGCTGGGATACTAATGGATCTCAGGTCTCCACAAGCCAGCCAGGGGAGAGGTCTGTAGTGCCTGAATGAAAAGGTTCTGGCAGGTTTAGCAGAGGGCTGGGGGAACTCATCCGCAGACAGCGGGCAGCGGCTGAAGCAGGAGCAGCTCAGATCAGGAGGTTCAGAAGGCCGGAGCAGCAGGAGGGCGAAACAGGTGCAGGGGACGCGGACGGTGACCATGGGGCTGGCGGGACGACAGGGGTGACGCAGCGGCCGGCCGGCTTCCCACACTGCCCAGGAGGAGCCAACGTAGTCTTACAAATAACCCGCTAACTTATCAGAAAGGATTGGCACAGTCAAACCCACTAAAACATTGGTTGGGAAAGTGCCTTGTTCAAGCGCTGGTTGTGTTGTTTCTGTACAATACGAGAACAGAAGGTGGAAGATAGCCCCGCTGTGAAGCTGAACCCCTCGGTCACCCCAAGTCTCTACATTCAGTGGCAACTCTCAAGAGCCATAAACTGGACATTCCTGAGGACCCAATCATTTTCCCTGCAGAATATGTATATTAAAGAAATCACCACCTGAAGTGCACACGAGGATGTAGCTACAGCCCTGCCTACCACAAATTATTCCTAATTGAGATGAATCAGTTAAAGAAATAGTGAAAATAGGGCCCTCCCTGGTGGTGCTGCGGGTTAAAGCACAGCACTAAGAAGCTAAAGCCACTTCTGCTTGAGTTCGATCCCCGCCCGGGAGGTGACCACATGCATGGCAGACCTCTCCTGACCCTCCCGCTGCTCCCCTCAGCAGTGTGCTTCCTCAGGTGGCCTGTTCTGCTCCCCACTCTGTCTCTGGTGAAGCCTCTCACCGTCCCGGCACCTCTGGCCTGCACCCTAGTTCTGTATGCATATATAATAAATAAATCTTAAAAAAAAGAAATAATGAAAATAGTATGGTTATAAAGGTTGATGGAAAACACAATTACCTAACACTATGTGTGGAGTAAGGCACAATGTTATACAGTGAGTAAAAGTAAACATTTTAATAAAGTCAACCAGGATTGAAAAGAATATCAATGTTTCCTGCTGATGGGAATTTAGGGACTTGGAGTTTCTATTTTCCTTTTCCAAATGTGCATCTATACTTTTTATAATTGAGAAGATTTCTCTCAGCACCCTGCCCCCAACACCTTTGAAGAGCTGTGTAGCCCCTCTCAATATGAGGTCTACATGCTGGCCTTCTGGGCCAGGTGAATTCTGTGAATTATGCTGCCTGTCTGCTGACTGAATGGGGCTGCTAGACTTACCGTGTTGGCCGGTAGAGTGAAGTTCAGAGAAAAACTCTGGAAAAGAGACAGAAACATTGAAGCTACTGGAAATCATCCTGAACTCTCCACCAAAGGTCCCTGACACTGGCAGATTCCAAAAGAATTTACCCATCCCACTGGCACAGTCAGCCAATCTCTGCCCCCCCCCCCAATCCTGGTCCCAAAAGAGGGCAGGGGAGCAGCAGAAGCTGAAGTCAGTCATGAGTTTCTCCCTCAGCATCAAGTCAGTATTACCCCTCCACCCCAGCTCATACCAAGCATCATACCAAGGCACGAGCCAGTGGGCCCGTTGCCTGAGGGGTCCCCACCATGGGAGCAGAAAACACCCAGTGCTGGAAATGGTTCTTGCTCCTTCACTGTTTGGCCTCATCTATCCCCCAAGCATGGAGTCAATATTTAAAACTTGGGGGCTCGCCAAGGCACCACCTTTTTAGCCTGCCTGGGGCCCACTTGTTTGTGTCGGGGCTCTTGGGGGTGCCTTCCTCCTCCCTGTCTCTCCAGTTTGGGCTTGACTGTGCCAGTTTTCCAGGTTGTCCAGTACCTTCCCAGCCTGGAACAAAGGCCGATGCTACGCTGACATGGCTGGACCGCTTCAGTACCCTGCCTAAGGTAGTCTTGTTTCTGCTCCCAGACTCTCGGCCCGAGTCTAGCTGTCCCTGAGTAGTGACCTCCGGAGGGACCTCACTCAGCGCCAGCCTTGCTGCCCCTAGGACTTATTCTGCAAACCTTTCAAAAACAGAGCCTACCATTCTAGAGACAACCAGTTTGCCAAGCCATTAAGTTCAATGTTATCCAACCACAGCTATATTGGGAAGATTATATTGATAGAATTCAGAAGAATTTTAACGTTACCAACCAGAAGTGCCTCAAAGATAATCTATCTCACACTCTTCATTTTTGTTTTTTTAAAGATTCATTTATTCATACAGAACTGGGGTACAGGCCAGAGGTGCAGGGGGGTAAGAGGATTCGCCAGAGACAGAGTGGGGAGCAGAACACACAGATTGAGCAAGTACACTGCTGAGGGGAGCAGCAGGTGAGACAGGAGAGGTCTGCTGCACCATGTGGGTCACTTCCCGGGCCAGGGATCAAACTCACACTGAAGCGGCTGTGGCTCACTTGCAGTGCTGCGTCCTAACCTGCTGCACCACCAGGGAGGGCCTCACACTCTTCATTTTATAGAAGAGGAAACTAAGACCCAGGGACTCGTCAGAAATTACTTCATGGCTCCATTACTTGGTGAGAACAGTTAGAGCTACTCTCTTAAAATAGGCCAAATGCTGAAAAGATGACTCTAGAAGAGATAATCCCAATCTATACAATATATACAAAATTGATGAAGCACCTATTTTGGCAAAATATTGGTAGGTTGGAACTCAGGTGGATAAATGAATGAGGAAGTCCTTTGTGAACCAAATTGTCTTAAGCCTTTGAAAAGTGTTGTTCCTTCTGCCACCCCAAGATCACATCCTTCTGTGAAGATGGCCCCACCCAATTAGCATGCTGCAATGCTGGCTTTGTGGACCTGTCTATCCCTTCTTCATAAGGGAGACTTGATCAAGAGAGAAATCAAGGTTCAAGAATATAGATAGACATGATAACGCAGCTTCACATGAAGCTGACACCAGAACCTGGGTTTTTTGGTGACACACTCCTAGGCACCACACTAGCTTCTCGGACAGACTGAAGCCCAGGTCACAGCCCATTTGCTGCTCTTCTAGGGCAATGCTAGACCAAAGGGCAACCTGGCCCACCCCAGGCCCAAGTGACCTAACTGCTGCCTTTTATTCCTCACACCAGCCAAGCCCAGATGCCGCAAGGACACTGATGGTCGCTGCACTGAAGGCAGAGCCTGACCTCATCAGGGAGCACAGGCACTGATGTCAGCAGGTCCCACACAATGCTTCCTTTGGGGGGACTGCAAAGGGGGGCAGCAACACGTGGACCATTGCATGTGCTGTTTACCAACATTTGGATGACAAAGCCAGTTTCAGAAAGACATTCATGTATTATAGAAACACACTACAGTGCTTACAGGAGGGAAAACATTGCAAACACTTGGGTGGAGAGAATCTGACGTGGTGTCTCTTAGAGAGTCAGCTGGGTGGGGTGAGGCAGCTTTGGGTTTGGGGACACCAGACCTGGATTTGAGTCCCGACTGAGCCTTGGAAAAATCGCTCAAACTCTCTGATTGCCATTTCTATCTAACAAATCTATTTTCCAGGCTTGGTTTTTCCACCCTCAGGTGGGATATACTATTAATTTGCCCTGATCATCTCAATGGATAAATCCAAAGGAAGTAATATTTGTGGCAGCTATAGTCAACAATAAATACTCTAGGGTCTCCCTGGTATTCTACGGGTAAATGCTCAGTGCTATCACCACTACAGCCTGAGTTCGATACCTGGCCAGGGAGCTAACCCACATATGGCACAGACCTCTCCTGTCTTGCCCCTCAGCAGTGTATTACAGTCAACCCACCTGATCTGCTCTTCAATCTGCCTCTGGTGAGTCCTCTCACTCTCTGTATCTCTGGCTACACCCCAGTTCTTCTCACATAAATAAATAAAATCAAGTTAAAAAGCTATAAATACTCTAAATGAGTGAATGAACACATGGTGTTATATTCTGCAGGGCCTGGGGCACAGGGAAGTCACTTAGGAAGTCCTTGTTAGATGGAAGATTGCTAGATGCATAGATTAGCAATACTCAAAGGACTAGAATTTATCCAATACACTTTCTGCCAGTCTTGGTGTATGTGACACCTATATACTCATTCCGAGGCACTTTCAGAGCTTAGTGACTGACAAGTCTGTGAGCTCACTATTTGCCAGGGAAAGGAGGGAAGGGGGTTGTTCACCATAGTGCGGCTCTCAGAGCTTCCTTAAGGGGAGCACTATCATCCCTCCATCACAGGTGTGGGAACTCAGACCAAGACCGGTTCTGGAAGTCCCCACCTAGCCAGAGGCACAGGTCAGCTTAGGTCACAGACCTCCTAGGTGCCAGTCTCTTTGATAAATAATCTCTCTAATAAGGAATTCTAGCGGTGTCTTGCCTTTTCCTCCCGACTGAGTAAACATCATTTGATTGAGTCACAACTAATTATGTGCCGCCAGTCGATAAGACAGGTGGAAATTTTCTGAAGCAACCTGTGGATGTCCGCATTGCCAATAATGCAGCAGAGACAGATTGAACAAATAAAGTCATTGACAGACACTTGGCTTCAACTGGAAACAAATTTAGCTGAAACATCTTGGCGATCTTTGTTGGAAGTAAGGTTTTAAAAACAAAACCTTTATGTTAAAATAAAAAGTGTCTCAAGAAATATCTAATGAGAATTTTAAAAATGATTAATATTTTGTACAGGAAATAATTAAAATCCAAACCTCTTGATATCATCATACCAACGTCTAATTATATGTGAATTCAGAGATATGAGCTTCAAAAACCTGGGAATTATTTTTGCAGAGATAAATGAAGGTTAGGCTGAGAAAAGATGCTAGTTTTCACTTACCATCTCCGAAGAACCGCCTCCAAACACTGCTGTGGGCAAGCTCCTTTCCTGGTGGGGTTGTTGGACAGCGTCTTGCATTTGCAGCAGTGTCCAGCTGGGAAATCCAGGGTGATAGGGCAAGAGGAGGCTCCCAGCCAAGCCATTTATGGTCAGGGGAGTAGCCAAGTGCTCAGCCCATCCCTCGGGGCAGATGGTCTCTGTCCGTGGCCGGTGGCGGTGGCCTGGACCCTCGCCCTCTTCACCTTCATCTTCCTCCCTTCTTACTTTTCAGACACCTTTCATCTCAGCCAGGAACTGCAGCTGGCCCAACCATTTGGTTTCTGCAACAGGCAGCTCTTTAGAAACAATGGATTATACAGTCTGAGGCTGGCTGCTCCTTCCCGGATGACTGAGGCCGCTCTGAGCCCGGCCCTGCACTGATGGAGGCAACATTAACCCACAGCAGCAGAGGAAGCCAGGGGGGCAGGCGGGTATTGGAGCTGAGCAGTTTTGGGGGCAGGGCTGTAGCTGAAGCCACACAACGGCCATATACTCTCATCAGTAAGCTGCCTAGTGGTGTGTTTGACCTCACCCCCTTTCTGTTCTCCCAGAGAGTGGCAACCCCCATGAGCCAGAAGAAGCCCTTGATGTGGCTGCTTTCTATTATTGAGGAATTCTGCTAGTTTATTATTTTAAATAGTAAAGGAGTTGGGGTCTATGACAACAGAATAACAGGACTAACACCAATATTTTGGCCACTTCAATGAGAACATTCCTTCATTTAGTCAACAAGTCTTTTTGATACCTTGTAAAGGCCAATATATTAGCATTTTTCTAGCAACTGTGCTGGGCCTTAAGGATTATATACCCAGCGCCGTCAGGTGGACAATTGTAAACAAGCGAGAGCCTCTAAGAGAGGCAGGGAGTAAGAGAACCTGTGCTTGAGACAGTATTTAAGGTGCCTGTGAGAGATAAGAAAGGGCCCAACAGAAGGAAGAGCAAACGCAGAGCCCTGGGCCTGCGACAGGCTCCATCAGCCCTGTCCTGATGGAGGACAGTATGAACGAGATTCCAGAAGCCAGGCAGGAACAGTGACCGAGAAACGGGTCTTCTTGAGAGCTCTGGACATTTGGGGGTTGCTTGACGTTGCAGCACAAGTTACCACATCCAGACCGACACATCAAGCATTTGTACTGTTGCCCCACGGGGGCTCACCCTGTAGGCACCAGTGACTGAGTGAGGGCAGAAAAGCCCATCACCTGGGCACCTATGAGTAGCACAAAATAGACACCTGTGGTAACAGGGTTGACACTAAAACCAATCTGCGTGTTTTACAAAACATGGTCCCATATTACTGTTTCCTGATAGAGCTCACAGACACCCAATTCCCCCCAAACCTCATTCTGGTCAACCTAAAGCAGTGTCCTTGATGAGATGGAGTCTCTTCCTGGAGTCGGGAATGACCATGAGTGTGAGACTATTTGCTACATTGGAGGAGCTCGAGTATCCCATTTAGGGGCTATTTAAAAGGTTCCCCTTGGGGGACGGTAGGTTAGAGCGTCCATGTGTCATTTCCTCCCTGAGCCCCAAAGGGGTGAGTAGAAGGAGGGGTTCCCAGAATCCAGAGAGAGAGGGCACCTTCTAGAAGCCCTTTCTTAGGCACAGTCCAGGAGAGAAGAGAGAAGGGGTCTGCTGAGAGACAAAGGGGCCACGTTCCTGGCTGCAAACGTCTCTCCACTGTGCAGTCACAGCCTATCTGAGGCCGAGAGAACACAGCTTAGAAAGTCTCTGTAGGGAGACTGGGGTGCCGTAGGGCGCTCTGGCCTGAGCCAGGCACTCACTCACTGGAGAGCAGAAGGCTGTAGGGAAGGCCCCCCTTTTATTCTCTTCCTCCAGTTTTTGTGGTATTGGAAAAGAATATTACCAAGGAGACCAACGTGTCTGGACCAGTAATACAAAGCCAGGGCACATCGCTGAAGCCACTTTCTTTTAATGAAACAATACTAGACAAGGACTCGGGTTAACGCGTCTGCACTTTCTCTTCAAAGCTGACCATGAAATGTAAAATTACACAAAATAAAAAATACAATATGTTTATAGATAACATACTACACAGTTTTTCTCTTTTTAAAAGAAACCTTTTAGGTGTTTGGGATTACTTTTCAGAAGCTCGGGCTACAATGGGAACTTTTAAAGATCTGTTGAAACCTAGGAAACATTTGTTTACAAACTGAACAGTAGCCACGCCACGCGTTATTTAAAATTTATTGGATGGGCCTCATTGATGGAAAATCCAGGTGAACTTTGTGGATAACAAGATTTTACAAATGTGATGATCAGGCTGCACATTGCATGAGTGATATTAGGAATTCCACAGGCTAAAAGAGATAGTGCTGGAAATTTACCCTGCTTGGGGATTCAGCTTCTAGCTTCGCCCAGGCCAGATTACATTAGAATTGGACCAGGCTGAAGACCCAGGCCTCAAGTATTTTGTCAGGTTGTCAAGCTAATACTCTGAACTGAGGTGGTACTGGACCTCTGTGACACCCCCAAGGCCGGGACCCAATAAACAATAAAGAAAAAGCCTGGAGCATCGTCCCCGGCTCCTTCATCTGACTCCGGGATATGGGCAAGAAGGTCGCTGAGGACTCTGGAGGGGTAAGACAAGGGCCTGGTCTTTCTGCTGCTCAAAGCCAGCCAGCGTGCAGTCCCTTGCAGACCCTGCCTGGCGTGCCAGTTCCTGGGGGTACAACAAGCTTCAGGGGAACAGGCCGGCCGGCCAAGCTGAATCAGTGTTTGTTGTTGAGTGAATACGTCACTCACAGAAGGCCCAAATGAGGGTTTTCACAAGAGGCCTGTTGTTTCAAGTTGGCCACAGGTTGATAATTGTTGGAGTTGTGTGTTTGGAAAATACTGGTACTAAACAGAAGATAAGTACCATTGTTTCACGAGTGCGGTAAATGCTAAGGCAGAATCGATTTCGTCTCTGACTCCCTCTCAATTTTCTAGGGAATTTGTTTATCTTGTTCAGCCTTCTGAAGGTTGGAGCTACAGATTGTTCACGTCCTTGAAGAGAGAGCCTTCACTGCCGCCCAAGGCTTCCTGATTTTAGCCTCAGCTTGGACAGATGGAGAAACTATAACCCCAGAAAATACAAAAAACAACAACAAAAAGAACCCCAAGAGATGCAAAATACCTTAACAGGCCTGTGAGAGCTGAACCGCCAGACCGACTGTTCCATTGGCTGAATCAAAGAGCCCCTATATCACACTATGAGAATGTAGGCTGAACCTCCTTCCTGGTCCAGGAGAGACTGAGAAAGCTTGGTGAAGGAGACTCAAGGACTGCAGGGCGTTGTCGTGCACTCCACAAAGCTTACGGCACTCGTCACACTGCATTGATTAAGGCTCTGACAGCTGGCCCTTTACATACATACATTTATACAGACATATATTATTATTAATAACAATACTTTGATTTTTTTCTGTTTTAAGGAAAAAATATCCCCACGCATTTTTACTTTTCTTTGTATTTTTCTTCTTCATTTTTTTAAACTCCCAACAATCATTGTAATTAGACACAGTCCTCTGGGGGTGTATGTTGATCTTTAAAAAATATAACCTTTTCTCTTTTTGCAAATACTTTGTTGAAAATGATGTTGATTCATCCCAAAGGAATTCTGGTACTTGGGAGCATCTGGGCTCTCGTTGCGATGTCCTGTGTTCAATAACAAGCAAACAGGACTTACGGTTATGTAAACATTATTTTAAAATTATTCCAACATAAATACTCTTTTAAAGCTAACATACCACAGCTTTTAGCTCATAATGCCCATAGATGCCTTAATGAAATGCCATTCAAAACTACCTCACTGTTTAAAGTACAACTGGAGGTTCTAAAGTCATGTAAACAATATCCTCTAGACTTCTCAAAAACAAGTGCCAAGTGTTGTGAATTCTGATTGCAAGTTGGTGATTGATACTCGTTCATCTGAGCAAAGTTACCGATGCACACATAAATGTGACTGGGCGTTAGTCCTAGGTTGACTTGTTCTATGAGGTGATGAATCTTACGTTACTTAAAGTTAGCCAGCAGTCACCCCACAGGGCACCCGAGCCGGTCCCTCAGATGTCTTTGCACATCTTGCGGATGCAGCTTGCCGTGGCTGGCGAGGAATCACGGTTCACCACAGCAAATGTCTCCGAAGCTGGAGGGAGAAGTATTCTTCTAAAGGCCCTGGGATCCCAAACACAGGTGGAGCCGTCTCAGGGTCAGCGAGGAGGTGTCTCAGGAGGAAGCAGGATGCTGGCGCCTGTCTCGGGAAGCTCGGGACTCGCACCAGCCGCTCTGGGGAGGCCTCACTGCGATGCCTTTGACCCAGAGCAATGAGGGTGGGCAGGGCCGGAGGGGTGAGGAGCGCTGGTGATGCAGAGAAATACCTGAGAGTGACTCTCCCACTCACACTCCCTCCGAGCACCTCTTGCTCTGATGGCCGCATTCTCAGGTTTCCTGGCGGAGAGAAAGCGCAGATCTTCAGCCAACACTATGAGCAACAAATCACCTACGGTTACACTTTTCCTCTCACTGTCAGTGTGGACGAAAACAGCCCGAGCTCCAGGCACCATCACCATCACCGTCACAGCGCCTGGCTACGGGAGCTGGTTCGAAACAGAAATGACCGACCGGAGGGCGCCTCTCGCCCCCTAGGATCAAGGAACAAGAGTGGGGGTGAACCAGCAAGGACTGAATGAGCAGCGACTTCAAGGCTTCATCTCTGAGTGTCCCCGGCTGAAATGTCGCTTCCAGAATCAAAGGAACATCTCTCTCCTCCATGTTGGCCAAACGTCAGCAAATACATACCTCCAAGTATTTTAAGTTTGGTTGGAGAAAAATACTGTACATTGTTTTAGGGCAGATTCACAAGGTGCAATTGTTTGAAAAACATTCTCAGTTCCTGTCTTTCAGGACCAGCGGTGTTACTTCTTCATGTGCAGGGCGTCCTGGAACTTGGTGCTGGTGTATCGGGCGTGAAAGCCTTTCTTGTTGATGGTGTCATCGGTGTGGAATCGAATCATCAGTGAATCCCCTGCAGAGTAGATTTCTTCCAACGGCTGCAGAAGGGAGGAAGGAAAAGCAGGGAGACATTAGTCAGCTGGTTGTGGCTGGAGTTTTAAAAAAGGAGGATGAGCCCCAGCCTCACACCCTGCTGGCCAGCACCATTCCTGCACCAGACTCTGAAGGCATCGAGACGAGCTCTTTTCCAAAGAGCAGCATCACAAGTCCTACCCCAGACAACTCCCACCCCACACCTTCCAGGACAACCCCAGACATGCAGACCATATGCACCTATTATTTGCCATGCGGTACATGGGCCAGGCACTGCTGTAGGTACTCTGAGAGCGTATCTCACGCTCTCTTTCCAACAACTTAGTAGGGCAGGTGGAAGCTCCATTTTATGCTTGAGGAAGCTGAGACTCGCTCACACAGGGAAGCAGGGCCCAAGCTCAGGTCCTGCTGACTGTAAAGCATGCACCAGAGCCACCCAGTTCAAGGTCACCTTTGTGTGTCTCTCAGGACCCCTAAATTAAAGACCACTTCTCAGGCCTATGTCCTGTCCCAAGCACAAAATGTGGGGGAGTCACAGAAGGCTAGGGTGAGTGGGCATCAGGGTCTGAGGCCGCTGCTGCAGATTCCGTGGTCTTCAGTGCTCAGGACCCTGCGAGGTCTTTCTCCACGTGTGGGCCCTGCCATTTGAAGGACTTTACAGGGACACCCCATTTTATCACAACTCCCAGATACTGCACATTTTGCAAATGGAAACTTTGTGCACCCTGTGTCAGGCAGGTGCACGGCAGGTGCTCACGTTTTGTCTCTGTCAGGTTTGATTAAGACATGTACTTTGTTTCTAGATATGCCGCTTTTGCACACTTAATGGCCTACAGCAGAATGGAAACATACTTGTATCTGTCCTGGGAAACCAAAAACGGGGCGCTACCGACTTTTTCACAGTGGGCTGGCCCCCAACCTGTATCTGAGGTGCCTGTGTCTGCATCTGAGGCACCACTGCTTACCTCGGGTTTTTTCACTCTTTCTTTGGGGTCTGGGGAAGCGAAGATGAAGGGAAGATGAAGGGACTGAGAAACATGGGTTTTAATTGCTTAGCACATGAAGCATTAGTGACTGCAAAGTGACTTCGTGTAAGGCCAGCTGATAGCAGGGAACTCTGAGTGGCTGCTCTAGTGTAAAGACTTGGGGGTGAGGGGGAGCTGAATGTGGGCAGCCCCCATCATGGCGCCACCATCTAGGGCCCAGAAGCGGCACTGACAGGTGCACTCGTGTTCACTGAGCACCTGTGCCGGGTGCTGGGGAAAGAGTGAACAAAACAAGTCTTCCTGTGGTAATGAGAGAGATGGCGATGACCTTGGGAATGACTCGCTGTCTTCATAGGCATTTAGCTTTGCTGGGGGGTGGGGGGACTGAATGTATGGAATCCATCAAAGTATGATTAAACGATCTTAAAAGCTTGAGGCCAAATAAAAACAGAGGTGGTGAGAGAGCCCTTTGCAAAATAGGAGCAAGGACCCAGGAGGGCGATGCTCCCCTGCCGCTGGCCTAGTACCAGGGCTCCATGAACTGGCCCAGGCTTCCTCCCAGCACCTCGGGGACTCCTCCTCTCCCCTCCCCCTCTTTGCTCCAGGCAGCCTCCTGTCTGTTGCCTGTGACTGGCAGGGTAGCTGGGACTGAGCCCAGTGGGCCTGTTAGCACTGAATCCCGGCTTTGCCCGGCCCCGGCACCCCAAGACTCACCCCCGACCCACAGAAGCGGCCGAGCCGGGGCGCCGTGCTGTCATAGCCGTCGAAGGCCTCCATGTAGTCGTAGCCACAGTCAGCCTCCTCCTCCACTTCAAAGGTGCGGAATATCAGCTCCACGCCATAGCCGTCCTCTGCCACGATCACCCAGTCACAGTGGGCCTGGCTCGGGTAGTTATTGTCCCCGAACTGGGCGTGCGAGTAGAGCTCTCTGGTGTGCACTTCTGCCTTCAGCCTGCCCCCGCACTCTGGAGCAGAGAGAGAACCACGACTCCCTGGGCACAGGGAACCCCCTACACCCCCATGGGGGCTCCTCTCCTCACACCCCCTCTTGGGCCGCTTTCTCTACAGAGCCCGGTGCGGGCTCAGTCGTAGAGGCTGGGCAAGCAGAGCATCCCGTACAGATTGGCCCCTAGGAGCCAAGAGCCGGGGGGCCACAGAAGGGAGGCACTTGGACTGCAGCACCCAGGATGGAGGCTCCCAGCCAGCCCATGGTGCTGTCATGATAACATTGGCCACCAGAGGGCACCAAAAGCACATCAGCGCCGCAGTTAGTGCTCAGGCCTGAAAACCTCAGAAAGACTTGACTTGCTCTCTTGACTACAGGCCAGTTTTGAGAGGCCACAGGTAGGTGAACCCCAAGCTTTGGGCTTGTGTTACCCTGGGCTTCTGGGGTTTTGACTAGAACAGTAACCCTGGTTGGCCTGGGCCCGATACTGGCTGTGTGGGTTGCTAGAGAACACAACATAAGTGGATACATGAGACTTAAGACAGGGTTTAAAAAGCACCAGACGGCCCTCCCTGGTGGCGCAGCGAGTTAAAGCACTGCACTGAGAAGCTAAAGCCACTTCCGCACGAGTTCCATCCCAGGCCTGCCCCGGAGGTGACCACATGGCGTGGCAGACCTCGCCTGACCCGCTCGCTGCTCCCCTCAGCAGTGTACTTCGTC